GCTGCCTTCGGCAAGTAGATAAGGTGTGCGAAGTAGTACTCTAAGGTTCAACAAACGTTCTAAGTCTTGTAAGTGGACTTTCCAACTCATAAGTTTGATGGGTACAGGTACAAGGGTCCTACTTATAGAATTCACAACGAGTTTATGTACTTGTGTTTTTTGTTGAAACTAATCAGTTCTTCATATGTTCATGTTCATTGCCGTGACGTAGTTTCTACATGACATAGTGCTAGTATAATATGCTCTTGGTATTACCAAACATGATCTGTGAGGAGATCAACATGGCCCATTGGAAGTTCACTTGTTGGTGGCGCCATCCGTTTTGTGTCTTGGAGCTTCGAAAATTCGCCCAAACGGGGATGAACTTTGACGGGAAAGTTTGGACCTGAAATCCAACTTACGCTAGGAATGGCTCGCATTCCGCCACCGACTCTGCAAAAACACGAAGTGGCATGAAGTGACATGAACTGACTCAAAGTTGTGGTACGACATGCGTGACAAGCTTGCTTTAGCAGATAGATGAGAAAGGTTAGATGAGCGAACAGTTTGACTGATTAGATAGACTATACCGATTTGATGTTGGATAGGGTGGATAGGCTAGGTCGGTGAAAGAGATTAGATAGGTGCGATAGATCAGATAGAGCGGACAGAGTGGATGGACCCAATAAAACTAGATAAATTTAGCTGATAACATGGATTAGGTAGGTTAGAGACGCTATATACATAAACTAGATAGGTTGGATAAGTTAGATAGAACCAACCAGATTACAGAAGATTGATTGATAGACATGGACTCGATAGGTTACAGACGTTCGATAGATTAGATTATATAGATATGTCGGATAGGTTAGAGAGAGCACACAGATTAGAGACAATTGATTGGTTGGAAGGTTAGATTGGTTTGAGATATTATACAGCTTATATAGATATCTATCTCTATATATATATATATTAGAATAGAGATATTATATGAATAGGTTAGGATATATAAATAGGTCAGATATGAAGGTAGGTAGGTAGATAGGTTTAGACAAAGAACACACATCGAGAATCCATGTAAACGATATACCCCTGTTGAACGGAACTCCTCATGTGTTGTTCTTCAAACCTATCATCCCGGACCCAATGCAGCAACCCTGTCACCCCATTGTAAACCTCAGTCATCAAGGGTAATTTGACTTCTGTATAATGCCCTTTCGGCAATTCATGTCACTGGAGTGATCCAACGGTTAAAAAGGCTTTCGCCAGGTCGGCCCATGCGCCAGCATGGGTCGACCTGGCCTGGCCAGGCCAGGCCACCCGCTCACTCTTCGTGCCACCGCTCCATGCGCGGAACGTTGGGGCAAAACACAAGGCTGCTCTCAAGCTCCAGAGCAGGGCACCGGAGGTAGACCCAGGAAGTTGAAGCATCTCCATTTGTTCTTCCGATGACGACACACAGTGCCAAGGGTTTGCAAACAACGCCTGCAGAACGTTGCTCGAGCGTACAGAACGTCGCCGTTGGTCAAGGCACTTGTCAAGAAAGTCCGAAAGCCCTGCACCCAGAAAGGTCAACGAAGATGTTGCCTACTACGATGAAGGGTCTTGCTGGCTAAGCGTCTTGCCTCGGGCACTTTGGTGTCTGCTTGCCTCGGGCGTTCGCGCGAGCGTGGCGGGCCCCGCAGGCGTCACCATCTGGTCCTCGTGGCCCTCGGCTCTCGGCTCTTGAGTCCCGCTCTGGTGCTTCGGACGACAGGAGCAGGTGAGCAGTGTCCAAAACCGGTCTACGATCTGTACTCATGACTTGCTTAAACTGTTGGTGGGAGGTTTTTGACGCTGCTCAGGTGATGTAGGTGATGTAGCGACCAAGTTCAAAGGGTAAGGAGACGACACGCCCATCACTTGCAGGACCAAAAGCACTGTATGCACATAGTTCATGGTGTTGTACCCATTGGTATAGCATGGGCGAGGCTTGCCCCAGATGCAGTCGGCCGATTGATCCTTCCTTTTATGGTTCATTCCTACATTAGACAATACAATTAGTTTCTACTTGTATGTGTCGACCTCTTTTTTAGCTAGACGCATTTGTTACATATATTGTTACTTATATCTACACATCAAGAATTGAATTAAATTTATCAGATACAGTAAGTTCCATGAGTTCGCTTATTGTACCTCAGCTGGCCTCAAATTTCAACTAATAACGAAGCACTTAACCTCCTATTCCAAGGGATCTATCTGGGTCCAGTGCCAGACCCCGCCTTCGAAGAGCTTGCTGGAGAAGAGGACACCAGCAGCCCCTGGAGCTTCACGGTGGATGATCAGCTGCAACACACATAGAGAGTGTTTGGACTCTTGGATGGAGGGAAGGCCACTGGCATCACCTGGAACGACCAAAACCTCTGTCGGTCTCTCTACCTCTAACGGTCCTTTCAGGTGGTTCTGAAGCCATCCGAAGCAACGAGGATCGTCGAAAATGTTCCATCGTCGAGTGTACGCGTAGGTGCTGCGCGGAAACGGGGATGTCACGTTCTGAAACGATGTTTGTCTACATCTGTGACCGCAGAAAGGGGTCAGTGCCTACCTTCTAAAGGATGTCGCAGAAACGGGTAAACCTCTTCGTGGTCTTTTGGTGCAGAAGATCCGCCATTCCCGAAGCAACCAATGTCGCACTGGTGCAGGATGGCATGTCAATGTCAGAATCCCAGCGTCCCCTGTAAATACCATTGGACAGGAGGATTCAGGTATTGCTAGATATTTCTAGCATTTTCTAGTCTATTCAACCCTGTCACTTTGCATAGGTGCGCCTCTCACGTGTCGACATCTCACCTTCAGAGATCTTCAGAGATGAAGATTGCAGAGTCTTGTTTTTTTTGCAGTGTCCAAGTTGAAGCCTCTCCTCTTCCAAACCTGTTTCGATCCACAAGGATCTTCCAGCCCTTCCATCCCACAAAAAGAGCAGCGCAACGGTACATCGCCTCGGGAAGACTCTGCACCACCTCAGGATGCTCCAGATCAGGATGACCTGGATCGATGTCATGGTACAACCTTGCAGCCTCCATAACGATGGGCCCAACCTTCGTACCTGCTTCATAACGATGGGCCCCAACACCCCCCCAGGGTTGGAGGTCTCAACTAAAACCAATTGCCAATCCGACGGGACCAGGCCACTCCTGATCTCCCAAATATAATAAAAGACTCGCCTGTGAAACATCTCCTCCAGGCAACGCTGCACCTGGCGCTGGACAAGCTCTGCAGCTTGGAGGGTTCATCCCACCTTCCAGAAATACAGGTTGATTGCACTAGATTCATATGGTTCATACATATGCATACTGTCCATGAAGGTCAAGACAGTGCAGCTACTGACTTCATGAAGGTCCAAACGATGCTCGAAGAGTGGTCGAACCCAAAATTGACCCCCTCAAAGATGATGGTCTGGAAACCAACCAGAAGGATTGACAGGGACAGGGATTCATTCTGCTCAGCGATAGAATGCAACAACCATATATCATCTCTCTGACATGCAAGTGGACTCCCCCTCCAGATAGGGGGGGCAGTCTTCCAACATGCCATTTTGAGAATATCAGGTGGAAAACAACGCTTCAGGGTTGATGGACAAGTTCTACTGCGCCGAAAGCAGATGGATCCGGAACTCCCTTTTCTCTAGTGACTCGCTGCTGTTTTACAGACAATCTGAGGACCTATTGGCGATGGCCTCCAACCTTCAACCTAGTAAGATTAAAATAGGAACCAACGGCTCTTGCACACTTTCAGTCGATACATCCTCGAACACTTCATGAAGTTTCCATCTGCAGCAGGACAGCACACTAGCTGCAAGTGGGTTTCTGCCTGCCCCCCCGCCAAAAAAACAGACCGATGAGGGTACAAACCTAAATGGGACATGACCCGAAGAACAGGTACCAACTTGTACAGTACCCATGCTATCCCATGTTCAAAGGTACTTGAGGGTCAAAGAGAGTTATTCCGGGGTCATACCCGCGAAGATCGCCACCAGCGAAGTTCCAACGAGTTGAAGATCCCCCCCCTCATGGCTGATGTTTTTCGTATCTGAGATCCGGGTATGCTCAACAACTCCACTTGGGTATGATAATATATCTCTTCATGTCTCCACTGGGATAACCTTTGAACTCACCCAGCCCCTCGCGTGCCGCTTTTCACGTCCTTTTCACGATCGCCACTTCTCCGGCGCTTTCTCCGAGTCGAAGCCAGAAGTCGGCGCCGTCAAATGACCTGAGTTAAGTAGGCCTGGCCACGTCCTTTGGACCAGTCCTGCGCCGCCGAAAACGCTGCGCGCCGCTCGCGGCAGCGGCGCCCAGTAGGTGCGCGAGTCCAGTAGGTGCGCCCAGACTCTTGGCCGAAGGTAGTCTGAGATGGTTTCGAAGCGAAGCTGTGGATTTCAGGAAAGCTAACAAAGAAATCTGAGATTAGCCTCTGTCCATCAAAGCAAAGCATTTTCTGAGTTTGCTGGGAAGGAATCGGCCTTGCGAGAAAGGAATCGGCCTGCTGGAACCGTCGTGAACAAAAAATAATCTTGCCAAGCCTTGTGCAAACACAAAGCCTCACAAAACTATGAATCAAAACCATATGCTTGGAGTTTCAAGAGGAGCCGAAACCAAAGCTCAAAGAACATTCGCAGTGGATTAGGGCCCCTTGGATGAACATTCTCCTCTACAAACAGGTAGCTCCCACTTCCATGATTATTTCAGCAAGTGTATATTCCAGCAATGGGCAGAAAGAAAAAAATAATCCTCTTAGGTTCAGAGTTTACTTAGTCAATCCTAGTGCAGGGTCATGAAAGCCATACCATTGCTTTGGCCAAATAGGATGTGAGAGTATCACCACTCCGGGTTGTTGTGGCCAATTGCTTCTACATGGATTTCCTGACAACCAATGGTGTCATGGGAATCCGCAGTTGTCTGCATATATGTCTGGATGTTTTCCACATGCATGGGGCACAGAATGGCCCAAAACACCAGTCCTGGAAGAGGTTCTTGAAGTAGTCACCTGAAGGTTGAACAAAAAGGCGACGCAAATTCAAACAGCTTGACTAGGTTCCTTCATCCGCCAAGTGTGTGATAGTACTACAACTCTTTGGTGATATATTGATATGATATATTTAATCTTATACAATCTATTCATATACCTAGTGGATGTATGTTCAAGCAACAATTAAAAAAACAAACAACACAACAAATAATTGTGCTGTTGATTGGTGTAGCTTCTGCACTGGTTATTTGTTTGTCACTTCTGCGTCACTTTGGTGACATGAGTCATGATGTTTGTCGCGAACTTTCTGCAACTTTTTGCTTGGCGTTCTCCGGCGAGACAGAAAATACATCGTCCAGACTAAACTCATCCAAGTATGTGTAGGTCATCCTAAATAACTAATGAAAACCAAATCACTGCTTGTGGCGTGGTTTGTATTGATTCCCAAGAGCTGCACCTCAAGCCTAAGGTGTGTGCAATGATTGAAGAGAAGGGAGATGTGCCAATTCAACCCCTGGGAATAGGAAGGAAGACTCAACTAAACCTCACTGGTTGGGAGTTGCGGAGACCCCTATTCCAACACACACGCCAAACGCACCTACCTTCTGGGTAAGATCTTCGCCTGTCCCAAACTGTCCCTTCCGGTCCCTCAACAACGCCCAGAGAACCCTTCATCGCGTAGAAGGTAAAGGTGTTGATGATCGTCGCCGACCGACACCTGATGGGTGGTGGGTGGTGTGAGGCCATGGCCCCGGCGCCAGGAGTGCGAGTCACGGGTGTTTTATGCTGTTGGACCGCCCAGTGTGGAGTTGGGTGGGGCGTCAAGCTAAAGAGTGTCCGACCAAGTGTCCAGGACAACTCCTGACCAAATTGGTTGGGTTCTGTGTTGTGTTGTCTCAATGTTCTTTTGCAAGTTGCAGCGATGGCGGCTTTTTTGTGAAGGGACACAAGAAGAAGGCTGAAATACCAAAATAGGCTTGAAGGGTGTCCAGTCTATCCAACCACCACAACTGCATGGTACAAGTACTAGTGCATGATTGTTGCGCCAAAATGTACCACGCGTATAAAATCATGCTTCAACCCGGTTGAAACATGGTTTTATACGAACCCGGTAGATTCCTTCTGAACAAAAAGTATTTCGGGTGGTTTGACATGACCTATTGTCAATGTCAGGAAGGTCTTCGATTACGACAAGTGTGTCATTCCCCACTCAACAGGGGCTCTAAGTAATTTGCTGATCAAAAGCTACGAACAAATTATCGTCCCCAAAAGATGTATCTTCATAGTGAAACGACTGGGGATCGCTACATCCCAGGGGGTTGGGTTGGTGTCAAGCAGATTCCAGGGTCATGCCGTCCTTGGGAATCCGGGATTCCAATGATTCCAAGGTCCTGCGACATTGATGTTGGACTTGGACATATTTGGTTCCCCTGGAAACCATGTATTTAGGTTGGTACCCCCCCCAAAAGGTGTTGGTTGTGAGACCTCTGTTCGCGACCAATCTATTTTGTGAAGTACCCTAAGAATACTGACCTAGTCAGCTTGGAATGGATGCGAGCTGGCCGTGACCTGGCACGGGACTCGCCTCACACGGAAGTTGTCCTGAAAGCGATGATCCAAAATGCCTCAGGAGGAGTGGGCAGCATGTACAAAGACCCCAAATGAGACAAATTCCGTTCACCCAACGTCACCTACACGGTGTGTTCCCATAGTGCCATGGTTAGTGTTTACATTCTTCTTCCAGGGTGATTCACTCTTGATGCAACACTATGGGCAATAGGCAATGACAGGCAATGCTTCTATTTCTCTGTGGGCTGTATTGATTTGCTCTTTCCTTGCTCCGCCGGACCAAAAGCTGGCGTGTCAGACCCATCTGGTGCGTTTTTCAAGATCATCAAAAGCCAGTTCAAGGAGAGCTTCTTGAATTACACAACCTTACACAACTAGCTGTAAATCCACCGGCTGAAGCAAAAACCCGTCCGGCAGGGGGGTTCGGGGTTCACAAGGTCCATCGACACTGGTGGCTTGAGTTTGAAGCTGGGCCTTCTTACGTTCGGTACGACTGGACCTACATGACAGTGTCGAACACATCACTGTACCTGAGGTTCGGTACGACTGGATCCCGAACTACCTCACAGGGACCCAACTCTTCACAGGGGAACTCTTCACCTGTCTGTTCTTGGCCGCCGCAGGTCAAAACGGTGTCTGCAGGTAGTTGGAGGTCGACGGCAGGGGTTTTGTCGGCAGCTTTCTGAGCGGTTTGGGTTTTGTCAGCTGAGTGGTTCATGTCCCAGCACTACCCAGGTTCATGGTGTAGGTGAACCAAAACAGAATGGGACCCTCTGGGATCGGAATTCTTCACATTTTGGGCGGGGTGTCCGCTTCAAGAACGAACCATTATGCTCGCCCAAATCCGAGATGCCATCCCAGCTCTTCATCTCCTCTTTGCTCACCAGCCTTGGTTGAAAACAACACACAAGGCTAGAAAGAGAGATGAGGTGACATGAGAATGAGAAGTCAATGGAAGACGTTCTTTCAAACATCACTTCACCTTGTCTTGTGCGAAGTGGATAAAATCTGGTGGAGTTTTACCTATAACAGTTCAGTTGTGACCCAAAACCCTGCTGTCTTTCTTGGGGGCAGAATCATTGAATGGCCCACCCCCACATTCAACGGATTTCGTGAGCTTCCCCTGTTTGCAATCAGTATAGCCCCCTCAAGGGTTCTGGCTCAATTCCCAAACGGCGATGTATATATATATATATAAGGCTTTGCAAAAGAAATGTCTTTGGCATTTGAGCCGGGAGTTCTGGGGCGGCCGCAGCAAGTAGCCTGGACCCTAAATACTGTGGCTACACCACATTACACTTAACTTCTCGAGTCTTGTAACTTCATCCCCAAATGAAACAAAGAATGTGAATACCAAGTCAACAAACAGTCTCAAAGAGCAGAAAAAGGGGGGTGAATACTTGATCATGCTCACAAAAGCATACAAATCGATCTTAATTATCGCACCTAAACTTCTCATGACTTCCCAAAGATTCTAATACAAGAAAGACTTGTACGGGCCGTGATTGCGTGAGCTGAGATTTTGCTGGGATTCCGCAGAAGGAGCGCTCAACACACGACCTTAAACCTCATTAAACCAAACCGGTTGACCGCAAACGGGCCATTTAACCTGCCAAGGTAACTTGCGGACAGTCTGTCGCGCCCCACAGCCCTTCAAGACATACATCTGATATAATTAGAGGGGGTTAGGTCTTAGGATGCCAAATGGGCTACATATATGTCGTAATTTCCCGAGAAGACCATGATATGCTTGTAGGTTGGAGGCCAGCGCTCCTAGGGTGGAGGCAACTGAGGGGGATTGCTTGTATACAGTATGCTCCCCCAACATTGGCGACTGTGGACCACAGCAAGTTGGAGGATTTCAGCGGGCCCGCCATGGACCGCCATGAATATGTTCAACAGTCACCCAGTGGATGCAAGTTGATGCGACTTGCAGCTAGACATGTATGCTGAGTAGATAGAATCCATCAACAACAATATGGATCAGCTTCCTGTTTTTTCATGTGCAATTCTATCCAATACTATATGCATTTACAATTAAACAAATTGGTTCCCTAGGAGGAGGCACAACGCCCAGGTATCAAAACAGCGGCTCAAAATGCAAAGTGTGCAAAAACGAAGCATGCTATCAAAATCCTGATCCAGGACTTTTGCTAGGTGCCTTAGAAAAAATATCACTAAACCATGCCGAGCCATCTGATCCCCCCCAAAACTACTGCATCTTGTGAGCTGACCCTTGCCGGAGGATTATGAGGGTGAGGTTGGTCTCCTGGCTTGACAACCTCGGATGCCAAATCCAAGTACTGGCCTTATGGGTCGAACAAAAGGCATACAAACATATACCCAGACACGACTAATGGAACTGCCATAGGACTGCCGATCAGTTGGGGTGGTTTTGGGGGTCAATGTAGGCATATATGGCAGTCCCATGGAGTGTCTGGGATAAGTAGGTTGAGACAACCACACTTGATTGGTGCTTTGGCACCATAAAGCAAACGGTTGATGTCGTACACCCCCGCCAATATGGAGTTCTTTACAATCCAACATGTTGTTTTCTAAGACAACCGTTACTTTCAGAAACCTGGAACATCGCGCAACATTCGCAAACACTCGCACTATTATGTTGTGGTTTTTGGGAAACTGATCGACCTCCACCCAGAGTCGAACCACCCAGGGTGAAGACCGCAAGCTCCAGTGCTTCCCCAGCACGGTGTAGACCACGCCGCGCATATCCGCGGGGCGAATTGGAGGCGGAGGTGCTTGTAGATCTCCCGATCAAGCCATGTGGTGCTTTCGTAGACGAAGGTGATATAGCCAAGATGATATCCTCAGCATCTGGTGATGTTTCCTCACGGAGGATGTCAGACGGTGGTTTCACCTGCTCAATTGCTCTGAGTGCGGGGTCGAGTCACCGAATTGTCGCTGAGCACCCAGCGAAATGGTTGACCTCTTGTAGTCAGCATTTGTTGGTATATCTGTAAGTGGCCCCGTACATTCCTAAGCACCCGGCAGCCTGGCTCATTTCGCTCGCGAACTGAAAGGATCCAAGGGATTTAGAAAAGGGATCTTGGAACAAATTTGAGCAAAGTGACTGGAGCAAACATCTTGCTTCTGCACTCAACTAGACTTTAAAGAAAGGTGATGGCGCACGATCTTCAAGATCCTCACAAGTGCTGGGGCAAGCGTGCCAGACCTGCCATCTGAGGAGACAGTCAGGAGACGGCACAAGCTGCTCGATACTTCACCAACAGCTCGCTCTTTCCGAGTCCGTAGGACCAGCCCACGCGGCAAACCGCGCTTTGGTATGAGCAAGCAGAAAAAAATGGTCCATGTTGACAGTAACACGACATCCTACCAGCCAACAAACTACAAGCATACTGATTTTACTCTCAAATTCCAACATCCGCCAACAGGGAATTGCTTCCTCAACCTGTCAACATCTAGTGACACTGAAAGCAACTCCTCAAGTTGGGTTCGATCACCGTGTGCACCTCCTCCGAACCTGGTCTTTTCATCAACAACACCTTCCCGCAGAGAGAGCGCAGTCCTCCCGCAGAAAATCTGCGCTGCTTTCCTTCCGGGCGTCGGTAGATCATCTCCTCCACGGGCAAAGCGGGACCCCCGCAGCGCTCATACCTGCCGAGCGATTCGCTCCGTCCGTTTCCGGTCCGTTTCCGGTCCGTTCCTTCGCTCTGTGGACGGTATTCTCGACGTCCGGTTTGGACCGGTGGATGGGGTGATCATGTTGACGGTTGCCATGAGAAAAGCAGGACATGAAGACGAAGCAGGACATGTAGAGGGGTTTGTAGTCATCAAGAAGTCCACACATGCGCTTGTAGTCATGAGTCTTACAGTGTGAAGGACACTGTTTAGGATAAGATCATGCAAGAGCCGCTTTTGAGGTCGCGATTCCCACCAGTTGGTGCTTGATATGGCTGTGGTTCAAAACTTGGGCACGCTGCTTGACCCCTTTATGGATGTCAACCTCCCAATGTTTTTGTGGAGAAGGTTTTGGCTCGCAGCCATATTGCTACAGTATTTCGGCATCCCACCAATGGTTGCGTTTCTTTTTTCGCTTCCAAGCAGCTCGTCGCGGAAGCAGCGGATGATGCCTTCCTCGTGGGCCATCATGACCTCGACAACGTGATATCAGCAAAGTATCACACAGATGGGAAGGTCAAAGGGTTCCAAATTTGGAGCAAAAGTGGATGCCACCGTATCCTTTACATATCAAAACTTGACCATGTCACCCAAACGACCTTGCTGCCCCAAACCAAGCTCAAATCCATACATTTCCATACCATCTGTATATGGCACTTCAATTTGCACATAGCACCCTTATCTACCCCGTGAGGTCCAAGCATATCACTGGAGGACGCTTGGGACATGCTCATGTTCAAGAGCCTCCTGGCTGTAGCAAAACTATTCAGGAATGATCTCATCCAAGCCACTGTAAAGAGATGTGATCCTGCTCCTACCAATTTGATGCAATCCCAAAGTTCGTGTGCGATCTCCGCAAGCCAAAGAATATGCTGGAACTGATTCTTTGACTAGACCCAAACTCAACCAATGGGAGCAGCTTCTGCAACTCTCAAACTATCCAGCCTTGTCTTTAAGGTTTTTCGGGGGAGCAAAGGCAATACACTTCTTAGGGTGACTGATGTGTGACCACATCTAATTGTGTTTCACCCCAAATAAACAAAAACCACGAACTTTAGAATCGCATTCCCCCTTACCTTAAACTAGATTAATAACTAGTAAATATATTCAAGCATATATTGAATATATAGTTCAGTGTATATGTATATATATATATATGTATATGTTCTTGTATTTGAGGGGAACTCTCCGATCTGCACTTCCTTCACTCCCTCTTCAACACCTTCAACGAAAAAGCACCGATAAGGCAACCCCGCCTCGGGATCAGCTCCGGAAAGGCAACCCATGAAGTTCATGCAAAACCTAAGAGCCAAGCAGCTTCCCAGCTGAGGGCTGAGGTTGGTTCAGGCCCAAACACGCGGGTCACCCAAGCGGTCCAAACAACTATTTGAATCCAGGATCATTGGATATAATTTTCATTCAAGGGTTTAGGTCGATCATGATGTCCTGAGGTTTCGGGCATGAGCTTGTAAAGAATATCTTGGGTTGAGGAAACATGTCTTGAAGTCCAACTCTTGAACATTGAGCCAAAACTGTTGTGAAAAAAAAGAACAACTTGCCAGTTTGCCCAGATTGCCCCTCCAAAACCATCCCTATAATTCCCTATACATGGATCACCAGGGCATGGTAGATAACTGAACCATGGATCGACGGGCTTCACCATCAACTGCCAGTCATACCCATCCGTTCCGTGCCCAGGGGCGGGGTTCGGCTGAAGCCGCCCCAGTCCAATACTCCACCTGGGGCGTGGATTCTAAGCACAGAATACTGGTGTCAGCCAGCCATAGAAACATGCTGAGAGTCTCCCGGATAAGAGGTGGGAACCCACGGCACTAGCGGATCATTGGTCAGCCGATGCTCTGGGAGTCAACCACTGAAAAAAAAAGTAACAATCGTCTTATTATAATATGGTCCTTTGTTTAGGGGACCAAGGCCAAGGAATATCCTTTATTTCACTCATGCAGCGTATATGTATATGTATATATATATATCATAATATTGTCGTTCGACTTCTAGGGCATGCTTTTAGGATCTATGAGGCTTGGTTGTGGGATGATGGCGTGGATTGCCTATGGCATCACATAGTTGTTGATGGGAAGCATCGAGAGCTTGCTCCACGTCGAGTAGATTTGGGAGCTCTGATGGACAAAGCAGGAATGCCCAAAAGACGGCTCAATCGCCGAGTAGGTTGTGAGGAGAGAACTGGACTTGCCAAGCCAAGGAAATGAATGTGAAATGAATGACAAATACCATTGGTTGCGAAACCATCGTTCAAATGTCATTTAGCGGGTTTAGGAACTGAATGTGATGAATGTGTCATCCAATGCGTCAAACCACCACCAGGCACGGCAAAATTAAGAGCGCTTTTCATTCGACATGATCATCGTCGTTCATCTAAGCTCAGCAAAATGCCAAGCTCCGCATCTGGACCTCTTCACGTGGGCAGCTTTGCTCTGGACACCTCCAGATTTGCTCCAACCGTCTGCGTTGATCTTCTCGCCCTCTTCTTCCCCCCCTAAAGCCTTCTTGAAGCACTCCTTAAGCCTCCAGTAAGCTCCTCTGAGCTACTTCTCAAACATTCCTCTCCCTGGGGGGAACGGCCAAGTCCTCTTCCTGTTCGGGGCCAATGCCCTGTTCCACGGAGTGGACCTACAATCCCAAACGATCCCACCAGTCGACCCGATGCCCCTCCCACCACCACTGTGCCCTGTGCCCTAGTCTACACGGGATCTGCCAAGAGCCAAGTCACAATCCAAATTGCCATACTCATCCCGCCAGAAAAAACGCATTATCTGCCTGGCAAGCTGGTGGCTGGTGAAGCGGAGCACCCCGTGAAAACCCACCTGTTCAAGGAGATTGTGCGACCCAACCTGTCAAGCTGAAAGTACTGTCCCCAGAAATTTGGCCATCAAGACCCCCTGACATCCACTGGACCATGGCCGAGTGTCTTTTTGTTTCTTTTTCGGCCATGGAACAAGTGGACCACACATTCACCCACTGAAACTGTGTTTCTGGCGTCGCTGTTTTGATGACAGTTGAACCAACAGTCGAACTTCTGGTTTCGGTTTCGGTCGGATCACCCTGCGATAGGCTTGCAAACATCAAACCGTGCATGTCACCAAAAGGCTGCTCAGCAGCAAGAGAAACATGCCGCCAAAAAAAAGTGATGACTGACGATTGGCAAAACATATCTTGAGCCAACACATCCGAACGCTTGTTCAGCGCCAATCAGGTAGCTTTTATGGGGTGCTTGGAGCTTATGCAAGCAAGCCAGTAGCCAAGCGAGCACAAGCCTACCAGTAGCCTACGCGAACAGATGCCTACGCGAGCACATGGCAGGCAGCAAAGACTTGTTTTTGTGTGTACAAAGGCAGACGGCAGAAGTACACACATGCACTCCAAAACAAGACTGACGTGTTTCTTGTACAAGTACTGTATAAGTGCTTTTTGTTTCCAGCAAAAAAACAGCACTTTTCTCTCAACATGCACATGCACTCCAAAAAACGACCTGTACGCAACAACCCTACCCAAACAAACTTATGTATACGCGCCTCCGCCTACAGCGTACACACAAGCCTACCCGAACTCACCGGTATCAGGTAAACAGCCTAATTACGAAGCATTTATATAAGGAGTTCCCTCTTCATCTTCTTTCCATCATCTCACAAGAACTAACACCCAGCACGACTACTCAACGAAAAGAGCGCCACAATACCTATAGCATCGTATAGCCCCCCCCCAAGACGAGCGCCAAACAGTGGATAAACACGCGTCTTCTTCCCTCGCAAAGCATCTCGCATCGATCGATCGATCGATCTCGCATCCGAGACGTCTCCGTACGTAAGCCCCACCCATTGGCGCCTGCAAATTGGCGTGCATCGCCGAGATGTAGTCCGGATCTCGGGACGGGACGGATCGACGGATGGGACGAGATATCGACGGATTGGACGGAAAAGATGGACCTCCTATTGTAAAGGACGTCTGCCCAAAAGGCACTGCTATCCGCTTCGGATCACTTCGGAATGTGCGGCGAAGGGGTGATGAATGTGATGATAATGTGTTTGGCTGTATGGTAAATGCGAGGCGAACGACATGTTATGTTCTGGCAAAGCCTCTTTGGAACGTGTTGGAAGTTGGCATGCTTCTTCGGAAAAAAAAAAAGACGAAGGAAGGAAGGTCAACGAGAGTGTGTGATCCAGGGTGATCAGGTCATTTGGTTTCAGGCGAATCAAGCCAAAAAGTCTGAAATTTCAAGAGTATCAAGATGTATCAAGTAAATGTGGTTTCAGAGAAGATGGCACATCCCTACAAATCTTTTCGATGGGAGTCCAATGGGGTCCCATATAAACCAATCTAATCTGGAACCCCCACTCTCTCTGGGGCGTCTTCTAATTGAAATGTTCTGACAAGAATCACGACCAGACTCTCCAAACAAGTAGTCTGGGGTTAAGGGTGCAATTGTCCAGATTTTTGGTGTTGGGAGGCAGGGTCTTGCTTTCAGTCTTGGAGGCATGTGCAAGTTTGTTCAGTTTCTTGGATCTGGGATGTTGTTTCTAGTAGTGTAGATAGCGTGTTTGGGTTGCAAGGGTTGAACTAAACTCCAGGATGTTCTGCTTTGACTGAAGAAATCTGAAAGCCAATACTCTTAGATATATAATACCCTACGTCCAACAATCATGAAAATGAAACAAACGAAATAAGCAAATAAGGGTTCCTCTTCCAGGATGGGTTGACTCGAGTTGTGGTCGAGCGGTCCAAGGGGCTGTTGATCTGGAACTGCCCCGACATCGCAGGGAAATGATGAAACATCTCCTTGGCTGTGCAGAATTGGACAAAACAACATCAGAGAACATGAACATTAGTAGGGCATCGAAGCCCAACATCAAGAAACAAGACAACATCAAATTGAGATCAGCCAGGAGATGATGAAACAAACAGTCTCATCGTCTTCCACCACCAGGTTCCTGAAGAAAATGAGGGGTTGTCTCCATGAGACCGGTTCAGGTCTGGCTGGAACGAAAACTATGCTAACTACACAAACTAGACAACACAGTTCAGAAAGATCACCAAGACGGCCCTCCCTTCAACAAGACGGCCTTTTTGCATCTTGAAGCAAGGGGTCATGCAAATCAGGAGTGGGAATCAAATCACAACATCTGTCTCTTCCTCTGATCTTCTCATGTGAAACAAATATCAACAGAACTCAGGATGCAAAGAAACAAGAAAAGACACCCTGGGAGCGTCAACGCCGAAAACGTCGCCCGATTTCCCGTGTGGGTCCATTCAGGTGACCTTGAAAGAGGTTCATTGGCCTCTCCACGTCTTTGTGGAACACTCATGCCTGATGAATCCAAAGATTTCAGCACGGCGACCGGATGGAGATGTCCAAACCCTTTGCGTGATTCTGTTCTTTTGGGGGTCGAAATCATCAGTCAACATCAGATGTTGTTGCTATTTGGAAGACACCCTCTTGGAAGACCCTGATGTTCCTATCTGAACTCTCCAAGAACTCTGCCCAAGTCTCCAGGATCTCGTCCTTAATCTTCATCAACCGTCCTCCTCTCAAACGGCGCGCCCAGCGCTGAACAGCGGAAGACGCATTCCGTCGGTCACCCTTGAGCACATGGGCCTCATATGACTCATCTGGGATGATGATGGTTACCTATGGCCCCTTGACACTCGAGCCCTTGACAGAATCTGCACAAACAAACAACTTGTCTCTCTGAGGTCCCGAGCTGAAGAAATCGTTTCATCCCTGGAAAAAAAAATACAACCATTACATGTGTTTGCAGGATTCCCACGATTTGGTTGGATTTTATCAATAGTCAAACCAACCCATGCTGCCTTGCAGCTCAGTTTTGGGCAGACAAGTTGGGAGCAGTGAACAAATAGTGAACATCTTTTAAGATTTACCCTTCCTGTTACTGGTTTAATGGAACAGTTACCGAAGCTAACACTGATGGTGACTGGAACCAAAGCCAGTCCAGATTGAAGAGCTCTTTGGAAGGCACTCTAACTCACCAAAACGGAAGTGGACAGCATGGCCTTTGGAAAGACGATGGTCTTCTACGGAGTTCATCCCCCTTTGTATTGGACAACTTTTTTTTCTTCAGGCCATGCTATCCACATCCATCCACTTCCATGTTCGTCAGTCGAAGTTTAATACCCGCATGTGGGGAGTTGGGCAGAAATCTCTTCTCTTGACTCACCTACCGTGCTTGCGAAACACCTACGGACTTCTAAAACACCGATCAAACTGATCAAACTGATCCTGACGGACTTCTAAAACCCATTGTTCCAGCTCACGCCTTCCAGCAGCCAAGCCGGCACCATGCTGGGCACCACATTCGTCAAGAAGTCGATGGCCGTGTCCAGGATGCGCGCGATCTCGGACGCGCCGCCAATGAGTCGGAGATGGAATCCTCAGAGCCTGTGCATCATATGAATTTTGGCTAATATTTTTAGGTAGCTGAAGCTACCTTTCGTGATCCGTCTGACATCTACCTCACCAATCGGAAACTGGACTCTCTTAGGATCCACATACCTTCTGAATCTGAATCTTTCTCAGAAGCTGTATGGGGCTGTTTGAGTTTGACATTTGGAGGGTTCAACCTCCTCAGGATGTAGTTGGATCCATACCGCGCCATGGTCACGCACAGTAAACAATAGTAAACACATCCCTACTGTTGAGGATACACACTACGATAAAGCCCGATGATGTTTGCGATGCCAGCAGTTCCGGTGCAACCACCGTTCGATCCTGCATCGCTCCGCGGCCGCCCCTCATCGCTCCGCGGTCGTCCAGGAAGAAGCGGGTAAGGGGTCGTCGGGCAAAAACCGCAGGAGCTCTACAGGGTACAGCATCGTTTGAATGCTGGTGGCTTTGAAAGATCCCCCGCTGAAGACCTACTAAAGACTATGTAAATCTTAGCTATCTATCTATCTGTCTATCTATATAGCTATATAAAGTTTAAAATGCTTGTTTGAGTGTCATTGGGAATATCACCCTCCTGAGATCTCTTCAGTTCTTCGCTACAAACACGTGCATTCCGTTTCCTTCTACCGCGTTGGCACCGAGTCCAGGCACCGAGCTCCGCTGGCTGGCCAGCTGCGCACGCTTCAAGGGCGCCCGGCGCTGGGCGCTGAGCCGCAAGAGCTGCAGCCGGTCCAAAGGGCCGAAGTACTCGTCGTAGCGACCTACGGCGTTGGGGTGTCCGTTTGGGGTGTCCGGTGCGGAGACGGCTTGTGCGGCATGGAGAGAGGTGGAAACGGTGAGACGGCGCGGAGAACGGTGGTGCCGGCCGGTGAAAGCGATGTGATGTGTGCGGGTCTGGATCGGCGGATCTATGGGAAGGTGATGTGGTGTGGTGTGGAAGGCATGTTTGTTTTCAGGATGTGAAGGCATGTGGAACAGGAAGAGAGACGTGTGTGGACTGAGACCGCGCACGAATGGTGACCCGTTGGTGTGGCAAGTCTTGGATCCTTGAAGATGGATGAATATATGGTATCTCCCAAAATGGCGTATCCATAAGAGGTGTACTGAGAGGTATATGGTGAAGTTTTTTGTTTCTGAGCAATCTTGCTGATAGTTGCATGGTACATCATGGTACCTGATGGTGTGGAAATCATCAGCGCCAAATCACAAAGAAACGTTGAAGATGGCAAGTGGCACTGAGGTACTGAATGGTGTTGCCTGCCTCCTCTCTCTCAGTTTCTACTCAACATCCATTCCGACGGGATGTGCGCTACGCCGCTGTCGCGGGCCTTGCTTGTCCCAGGCGGCCAAGCGCCCCATCGCGCGGAAGAGGCAGCAGTAGTACCTGCCGAGGCGATAAGGCGTTTCGTGGCTGTGGCAGCGTGCACAAGCGCAGCGGCTGGCGCTGTGGTTGGTTGTGGCTTCACAAAAAAAAACAATGAGAATGTGGGAGATGGTGCAAACATCTCCATGGCGGTCCACGCAAGCACCAGGGGTTTTAGTTCACCCCACTCGCAAGGGGTCAAGCCATAGCCAGCAAGTGGTTGGCTTAGCTAGCTTCGTCAAGTCCTGAAGCACATCTGAAGTACTACGCGACTAAGTGCTTCATTCCTCCGAGTTTGGGTCTCATAACTCATGCCAGGGTCCAGAGTACATACCCTCCACCGTGACACTGGCTGTAGCCTTCAGGGCCGGGCAAAAAAGGACCTTTTGGCCAGGCTAGACTCATCTGAACTCAAATTTTGTTGGATGAAAGAATTTCACAAAACATAGACTCATCTAGACTGCCAAATGAAACAATTCAATCATCTATAGCTTAATCAAACCTGCCCAGGACTCCTCGGTTCCAGGGCACTCGGCCGGGTTGGGCAAGAGCCAGTCCTGATACTTCCCGCACACCGGCAGCACCTGCGCCCGCCGCATGTTTTCAACCACGTCCCCAACACGTGGGGGGTTGAAAGAACAGGATTGCGCTTGAGAACGGCACACCATCATGCTCTTTCATCACCTCGAAACGACCCTTGACGTCGAACGCGTTTGGGGGCCAGCGAAGGATGCTTGTTCTGAGTCAACCAGCCTCCCTTGGGAGTGTTGACAGCCGAGAACTCACTTTGGATTGATAATATGCACTTGGCATTGGATGCCAACAGTGGAGGTCATCCATCTTCATTTATAGACCCCGTGGCCATGCGGAAAGAACATTGTTCTCTTGGTTCTAAGTCTCTCCAACTGAAGTTGATCTGACACCTATTCGATCTGAACCCTTTTGCTCATAATTGCGAAAAAGTTTGACTATCAACATCAATCAACGGTTCACGGCTCCAATCGTTTTATGTGTTTGATTACTTTATTTGTTGTTCGTCTACTGAGGGTATGGTAGTAAAAGAAGCTGCCTTCTGTTGACTGTCAGTGGACAGCAATCTACTAGCAATGTACATAGTGCGTCCGAGTCATATCCATGGTACACCTTAGTCTGCAGAAAAAAAGGACTCTAGCACAAGTATACCTGTGCTTTTTTTTTGGCTTCGCCCTCTCCCGTACAACGATCGATCTGCGAACGGTCCTAATGATTCAACCCTATCAGCTTGACTTTCACGGCTAATGTCATACCCAGACACTCCATGGGGCTGCCATATATGCCGCCCCATTGACCCTCCTGGCACCACCCCAACTGATCGGCATATATATGGCAGTCCCATGGGTTGTGTCTGGGATAGGTTAGTACACGAAGACTCCGGATCCGCCAATGGACATGGGTTTTCTTCAGGTCCAGACCCGCACAAAACCCCATCAGGATTCGGGTCCAGACCAGTCGCAGTCGCAGGACCCGCAGTCGCGTGAACAGGACCCTGAATCGCACCTGGTAGGGCTTGTAGTCGATCTCTTCGACAATTTTGCCTACAGACTTCAGGCTGTGGCTATGACGGCAATGGCAACAGAATACAATTATCCTATATTATCCTTATCTCCTGATATCTTCAAGACGATATGACATGTCCATCCAATGTTTGTTTGAACCATCCAATGTATCTCAACCGCTTCACATTGGAGGTACCTTGCAAGAAGAAACAAACACTGCTCAATCACTGCCGATCTCCCTGGTTTGTCACTACTCTGCGAAAGCCAAAACCTCAAGGAATAGAATCGAGACACATTGACAAACGCATTGCAAAGGTCAAAAAACTCCTAAGTTTTGTACCAAAAGTCAAAACATTCACATTGCAATCACTAAAGCACACTCGAAGCACACAAAATACTAGCTGCTGACACATCCCAGTGGCCATTCTCCACTCTTCCGCGGCGGCTGAACTCAATCTTCTCCTGGGCAGCGCAGCCGAAGGAGCTGGCGCAAAAAAAATGCAGCTAAACATGGACCCCGTCCAGCTAGACATGCAGCTAAACCATGCAGCAACATGGACTCCGTTCTCGGGCAAGCGTCTGAGATGAGGATGAAGTTGGTGGTTTCTCGATCCACCTCTCCGAAGTAGAACTTCGCTGTGCGAAATGGGAACAACTGCGTCAAACACCTCGGGTGTTGGTTGCGGACCAGGTAAAGGCAGCGTAAAGTTGTTGTGCCTTTGCATGCTAAAGGGGGGGGTGAGTTGGAGGATTTTTGACATCCAATGTGGAACAAAAACTGTCAGTTTTTTGTGGCGGGAAGAAGCTTACAAATGGAGTGATGGTGTTTGGTTGTCCTATCATCTAATCATCCAAAATCGCTGCGATCAATCGAGACATGTCCAGTGACCACCGCACCTTGAAGAATAAAGAAAGGGTAAGGCGAAGGCGAAAACAAATTATGGAATGAAGACGACGTCCATCCTTCCAAAAACTATTGAATTCCAAATGGACAACTACCCCGCCTTGCAAGAAAATGTACTGCCCGGCATACAATCGAGGTGATTTCCACCGATGTCAATATAAATCTCTGGATTTAATGTAAATCGCTGCCAGATATGATTGATGTCCACATATGAGCCACAGTCAAAATGAATTACATGGCCTCTTCTCGCCTAGCGATTTAGTGAGTCGCCTATCGTTTTACAGTGTTTGCACGTGCTCTTGCACGTTGTTCCTAGAATGCCACTGACACTCTTGGACAAGTCTTCGGGCCGAAAAAAAACTGGGGGAGTGGGAAACCCCGAGGCATCCCGTGGCAATAACCGAGGCAACCTCGTCCTCGTTCTGTTATCGTTCAGGTTATTGTTCTAAGCGCACACACACGCCCACAATTCAGGATGTATATATAGTAAGTCACAAAAAAGGATCGCAGAACCTGGTTAAGATATGTTTTTTTTTGAGAATCCCCTATTGTTCTACACGGTTTAGTTTTAAGTGCTGGCACCAAACCAACGAGCTCCCAAAGCAGCTGCCTAGCCCCACAGAAAACCCATGCGTGGATCTCGTCAAAGCTCCGGACGACCGGTCGTTCCGTTCGTCAATGCGGACCAGGTACATCTGCACCAAGATCTCGGGTCCATCGACATCGCCATAGCTGGACAACTGCTTGCGCTCCAAGGGGTACTGCTCCATGGAATACCTGGGCGATTGTCCGGTGAAGGTTGCAAGACCGAAGGCCGAAGGGCGGAAGAAAAAAAAGAAAAGGACACCGGTCTTAAACAGGTCTGGTGCTTGAGAGGGATGCTAAAGGTCTCTATGTTGGCTTGGCCATTTGGAGGCTGAAGCGTGAAAGCTTGATAGCTATGGCAAAATAGACACAATGACAATCAATTATACATACATGAACTATATTATATAGATCTGTGTCACATGAAACAATTCTACTAATGTGCAATTGCACACAACAAACCATGCTACGAACATCATCATTTGTCTCGTGCATCTTCCGACTGACACCATTCATACTTGTGCTGAACATCATCCTAAGTCCAGTGACCTGACATCTTCCGGGTTCTTTGCACATCGAAAAGAAAACAGAGAGATGTGTCTCTCTACCAACCCGCCTCGACCCGCAACCCGACCTCCTCAGAAAGCCCATCACCGGACCACAGTCGCTTCAGTCCGAGAGGTTCATTTCTTCGATGAGAGGCGGATACTTGCAGAAGAGCTCGGTGTGAAGTTCCGCGTCCGGCTTCGCATATTCTACCTGAGGCTGAGCACGTCAAAGATCGAAACGAAGTGATGATGATACGATACGTGATGTACGTCTCACCCCCGGGTGTCTCTGTCGACATGTCTATTTGTTGAAATCTGGATGGAATGATGATGGATGATCTACTGTGACATACCACGAGAGTTCATGTAAAAAACAACAGTTGCAATATGTCGCAATAGCTCACCAAATCAATCTTGTCAGCGGTAAGATATAGGAAGTAAAGTAGCGGCAAACAATTCACAAGACAGGTTCTTGCCAAGACCACGGAACATGTGTGTGTGTGTATCATCATCAGCCCAGAAACCCAAAGGACTCAGTTGAGCAAGGACAAACTCCAAGCTGAGTGCTTTGGCCCTTATAACCCTATTTTGAGATGCATAAATTAACGCACCCACGTCTAGAACTTTTTGGGGGTTCATATGGATTATTGCTCAATGCAAAAAGGGATTGAACCCGCCCATCTCCAGTAATGAAAAGTGATCCCCAAAAGCATGCAAGAGCCATACTCCCTGATCAAACAAGGTCTCAGGAGCGACCACCAAGCACCAGTGGCCTCCACAACATTCCCACAGCTTTCCTCACGGAAACACACCTTCCCAAAGAGAAGATGAAACCAACACCAAAAATCGAACAAGAACCATTTCCTCTGGCTTGACAACCACATCACCAGCTTCTGAAATGTTTGCATCGTCAAACACATTGATGCTACCGACATCCGAGAACGGCCCGAGCGGCGCTGAGGATCATCTTCATGGCGGCTCCTCCAGCAGCATCGAAGCCCTTCACTGGCAGCTCCTCCGCCCTGTGCGGCGCCGGGAGACCGGGCAGCCGAAAAAAAAAAAAATCTAGGGGGTTTAGAGTAGATGGCACAGCCCCCAAGATGTCCTTTAGATGGGTGTTCATTAAAAAAAAGGAAACACCTTTTTGCGGTCATCTAAAGGACATCTTGGGGGCTGTGCCATCTACTCTGAAACCAGTGTAGAACATTGTAGAACCATGGTCTCTTTGCGGGTCAACAAATGGTCAAGTGTTTCGTTTGCTTTTCACGATAGCCCTGGATAGCTATGGTTTGCAGGATGTTGCAGGACCTTTTGTGGTGAAAGGGACAACCACGTACCTCTTGGCTCCAGCCGTCCTCGCCTGATAGAGACCCCACCCGGTCTGTCCACGTCGCCTGAGGATCTTCACCACACGGTTGTCTTTGGGCAAGGTGCCAGCCTTATCGCGCCCAAGGGTTCAGTGCCCACGGCGTGGTGAATGGTGAGCGGATCGTTGGGAGCCACGAAGAGAAACGGATGAGACAAAGCGCGGTGTATAGGAATGACCTTTAAAAGCTGGGGTGGGGGGACCACCAGCTTAGTGATGTCTGGAAGTGGCGGAACGCAGGGCTCGAACGGAACACTTAGGCTCTCACCACAGGGACTTCTGCAGAATTCCTATTGTCTCTATGAACTATGGCCTGAAGGACTCAGGGACTAACCACACGAATCCTTCCTTCAAAAACATCAGTTTTCCACGGCCGTCGGGTCAGTATCATGGAGATTGGATCCCCCCCTCTTTCGGTAGCAAAAGAACATTAAAGAACTGTTTTGACCAACACAGACCTCATTTGTACTCGATGAGGTCGGCATGACCCAGGTTTTGCTTGATCTGACTGGCCTGGTAGGGTCATCTACAGTGGTTTTAGAGTAGATGGCACAAATCCAAAATATTCTTAAAATGGGTCCATGTCAACCACCTTTTGGGGATTGTGCCTTCTACTCTGAAACGACTGTATATCCTGATACACCGCGTCAGCATTCCCAAATCGATCGCCACCGACTCTAATGCTCAAGTGTGGAATCCCAAGTTTATATATTAATAATGTGTGCAAACAAACCATACCCACCTATAAACAGTAGAGTCCAGATTGATGTTACCTAATCCCAAAGAAACATCTGAATGTTCAGTAAATGCCTCACAACTATGAGTACTGCCTATAGGTTTCTTGCTGTCTTGATGTTTGGGATGCCCCAATACCTTTGAACTCACCGGTTTTGTGGGACCGGTCTTGGGATGTAAAGCTCTCCGGTACCAAAGTGCCCGGTCACAGGGTCATTTGACCGTGACAGATCCTTTCAGAAGGCCACGTGAACACGTTTCCGCGAACGACCTTGCAGCATGTGCTGTGCACAGCGGTGGTTTCGGGGTCCAAGTTTGACGCTGTGCTGTGCAAGTACACATTTTGAGTCCTTGATCTGTGTGGTCCTTGATCTGTCCGGTTGACTCATGGTCCTATCTTGGATCTGTGCATCACGGGTCACCCAGAACCATCCAGAACCCTCAAGAACCTTGGCTGCCAGGCCGGGCACGACCTACTCCCAGTTACCACTATATAAGGAACCAGGCATTCTATAGGTCTATATATATATATATATGGTTTTAGTCTTTGGAGCCACTGGTTACCAGCGAACTACGTAGTGGTAACTGGATGCCCTGGCATCCCCATTTGGGCCACAGTCACGCAGTGGAACGCCTTGGTCAGCCACTCAGCGCCAAAGGCTTCAGAGGCCATCTCCTCTGAGGACCTGAGAGGGCGATCCAGTGGGGTGACCTGGTTCTTTGAGGTCTGCGGTTGGAGTGGCGATCCAGTGTACTTTCATAGGGAGACCTGCTGGCCCAATAGGTCTTGATACTGGTCTTGATCTATTCCCAAACCTTCCAGGGGGTCGGAACACCTGGGAGGTCTCCCTATTTGGGCTGCACATCCATGTGGCTTCAAGCTGGTCGACCAAATTCTGGTCTTCATCACTGATCGAAGCGCTTGGCAGCGATCTGAAGTGGTGCCTGAGTCCTGCCGGAGTCACTTGTTGGATGAGGATCTTGTGAACCTGGCCATTGATCAAAGGAAGTGAACGAGGTTGAACTCTTGGTCCATTTCTCGACAAGCCAAGTACGTATGCACACCAGCACAAAGGTGCACATCGGCACCACAGCAATCTTGATGGAAGTGGAGGGTAGAGCGATTGATGTTGGCAGCAGCATCTGTGCCGGATGGCAAGCCAATAGGAGAACCTATGATAGCGATTCGCATGTTCTGGGGTCCAAAACCAAGGATCGCTATCAGCAGGATTTGGACCATGCTCTAGAAAATCCCGCGGTAGCAGGGATCCTTGACTGGCTTCGAGAAGCTGTGTGCAAATGGCTTGTGGTGCCTTGAAGATGCGTTGCATGATAGCACCACCTGGATATTTGTGAGTCTGAAGCCATAGAAAACTGCACTAGAGTCCAAGTTGGCAACAATGTGGTTGATGTGCTGTTTGAATGTTGGAATTGGATATTCTCATCCCTTCTTGAACTCCCCATTGGTGACAATCAATATATATATATATATACTACATCGTTACATTGTTATTTACATGCTTGAATTGAAGTCAGTTTCAAAAAGTGTGTGACCCAGGAAAAGGTGTATCAATGGAACATGTGTTGTTTCAAACAAAGGTCCAGTCATATCGACAAATAATTAATATTCGGGGGTCAATATAGGCGTATATTAGAGTGTTTGAAAGATATATATATATATAGTACGCTAACTCCAACCACTTCCACTTTGGCCTCCCGGCTGAGGGAAGGTGAGGCCATAGAGGCAGCCTCCGGAAACCAAGCGCAGAAAACCAATGTGCGGGTGAATCTGGTCCAACGAAAAACATCAGAAAACACCTCTAATCATGTAGACCGTAGACCGATGAATTACTAAACACACAACATATGTTTTTTATTGATTGTTTAACGTTGTTTTACAATCCACTTGGTAGTCATTCTTAGTAAACAGTCTACATGATGCGAAACGATGGATCAAATCTGAGACTTAGCAAATACGCAACTCTACAAAGGAAAGGGTACGTATTACGTCGTCTGTTGAGTTGGAGGATGCAAAGGGGAACTTAATGCTGAATCCTTTGATGCGCCGGTCATAGTTACTGGCAAAGTCTTCTCAAGTCACTGTTCAAGAATGGTTTTTGCAACCAAGCAAAACACGTCTTAGGTCCTCACCACGAGCACCGCTGCCAATCCCCATCGAAAAACATGCATGTCAATGTACTACAGTAGGTTGAAGTCCGTGATTTAAGAATGCTTTACCCTAGGGCTAGTACCTCCTCAGGTCTTTGGACCCTCCTGGCACCCACCCCAGTCCCGAAACGATACGGTACGACTGGAGCCCAGTCGTACCGGGTTAAGAAGACAGAGGATTGATCCAGTCGGACCCGGGACGATCGGCCCCGCGTCGTGTGTGGAAACTCCCAACACGGCTCCATGACGCTCCGCTCCGGATCCGATCCCCCTGGTCTTCTCGGCGTGAAAAGGACACAACATAACCTCTCTCTTCCGCAGACATCCAATGCTCGTCTTGAACTGAGAAAAGGACTAAGGTCTTTTGGTGACCCTTCCATCATCGCAGCTTGGCTACCTGAAGAGGATCACACTCTCAAAACTCACGTGGACTCTGAGAAGGGTTCCCCTGAGTCCGACCCTTGTCCTGAATCCGCGTCCATCCGCGGTTCTCAGGGTCCATGGACTCTTCTCACCCGCAGATTAGAAGTCCAAAAGAACCTGGAGAAACGGTCCAGTCATTTTGCCCACCTGGCAGTCGCTGTTTGGTCATCTCCTGCGGTCCCGTCTCGGTCTCCCGGATGGACCGCACGATCGGCGTCGAGATCCGAAACGGTTAGAGGCGGAGGACCGAAGGTTTCAACCACCCCAATGTGGGGCAAATATGCCATACATGGAGTGTCTTGGTCATTTGAGCCAGGAGTTCTGGGTGGGCTAAAAAATGTGATTCTTGGACATTGCTTGACCTCTCCGTTTCGAGGAGAGTCAGACGGTAGCTTTCTTTTACACGGTCTTTGTTCCGGCACGGTCGGGGTTGCTTCGTCACTTGCTGGACAAAGACGCTGAACCGGCTGTGAGTCAATACCAGGGGACCCTGGTTGACCGAGAGAGGTAACAGAATAGATAGAGAGGTCAACCTACCAGTGTTTTGGAGCTCCAGGTTTGACCCACAGCCAAATATCTGCGCACTTCCCGCGCACCCATTTGTGACTAACAAAAACAGAGGCTGTTCAGGTGTGCAACTGAACCCAGCTTTTTGGAGTCAACTGAACCGCCACAGAAGTTGAGTCTCATGTCTTCTAAGCCGGGTGTGTTCCTCCTCTTAAAACATGGCATGCCAACCAACTTATGACATCCGATGAAGCGAAATTCGGATCTGGTGCCGGTTGCTTGGTCAACGGGGTCGGGTCGGGTCGCAGGAGCTTGGGAATGCAAACACACGACCTCCACAAGCAACATCTAGCAACCACCGTCTCCATGTCACCCGTTGCGAAGTCCACCGTCTCCACCCGTCTCCATCGGTCTCCAGTCCCCCTCGTCCCATCTCCTCCAACTGCCGACCATTCAACGTCCTGTGCGGCGGCAGCTTCTTTTGCTCCCGCCGTTGAGACTCCGGCAGCCTGGCATGACACGCTGGCCGACACGGGGTGGGTTTGTGGTGGATGTAAACAGACATGTGAATGCCTTGGCGGCCAAGACACCAGCATCTGTCTTGAGACCTGAAAACTGGGAGGTTCTGGGAACCTCATTTTGCTTGTTGGTCAAGAGTTCCTCAGCTCAAGAACTCCATCCGTACGATCTAGGAACCATGTTGACTAATGCTTGGATGCTATCCAGGCAGGTCGCCTTTTGCATAGAGTACATCAATTGGGTTCTACAGCAAATTCACAACATCGAAGATCATCTAGGTGATACCGAAGTTATACCTAAATTCACTCTGTGACTAGTGGATTCACTAATCTTTCACACCCATGAAACAGAAAACTCTGCCTTCTGTCCTTCATGTACAACTACCGGAGTTTGGCAAACCCATTTCGTGCTCCAAAAGGGTAGGAACTGACCCTGCCCTCATGGTAGTTAGGATCCCTGAAACAGGATAGTTCAATGGGTCTTCCCATGGACACCTTGTCTTCCTGCCATGTCTACCGGCGCAAAACACCGTCCACCGTCGCTCGAGGTCTCCCGACCTCGTGGGCAGGAAGGGCTTCTGCTGGCGCCAAAGGCGTGCCACGGCGGCGACCCAAGGCACCCAAGAACCCAGACCATCATAGGAGAAGTTCTTCTCCTGCCCCGGGAGAAGACGTGGCTCGACGCCGTCCGTCTGCCACTCCGCCGTCCGTACGAGTCCAAAATGAAGATGTTTACATTTGGACTTGTCCACATCGGGGTGTCGATGGGTGTTTCACATCGCCACTATCACGCCACAGTGTCCACAATGCACATTCGAACAACATATTATGCTAAGTATCAAATACTTTCACTCAGGGCAACATGCCTGGTCTTCTTCACTTGTAAACTGAAAGGTGCAACCCCCCCGATCACTGGCTTTGACCAGATTCAGTTCAACATCAGCCTATCATTGCGTGATCTCAGATCTCAAGAAAATCACTTGTCCAGCAACATGATTGATAATTTCAGGATGTTTCAAGGGTAATTATGTGCTAGGGGTCCATATCCGACCTGAAGATGTGTGTAATGTGTATACTTGGGAATGGCTATGTGAGGGTGTCCTTACACCGCTAGGGCCGCCAGGGGTCAACCACCCCGCGCGGATCGATCGCCACGATCGCCTCGTTGCGTGTGTTCAGGTCCAACTCGATGCCATCGTAGACAGACTTCCTTTCGGCCTGCGGGTGAACAAAGACCTCTGCGAAAGGAAGTATACGTACGGCCTTTCGTGAAAGCAACATGAAAACAAATGAAAACATGTGTATTGTGCCATCTTGGTAACAACACCGAATACAACACATGTGCTCAAGAAGCTCAACTATGACCCACTTCGCTTCCAACGTCGAAAAACGTATATTGTGTTCATGCTGGCCCTTCCAACTTGAGTCGCCACTTTTAAGGTGGTCAGAACCACCAGAAATGTCACTCACCAATTGGTCACAAAAGGCAGCAACCGGGTCAACAAAGGCAGCGACTGGGCCTAGAAGTGGAGGCAGAATCCCTCTGAATCACTCATCCACTGACTGACCACTTTGCGACCAATGCCGGACGAAGGCAAAGAATCTCCGTCTGATCATGGGAAGAATCTCTGCCTTTCAATGCTTCGTTTCAATGCAGGGGGGAGACCATGGGCTCTTTCCTTGTGCATTTGGATAGTGCTCTTGATTCCTCTTCAACATCGGACCAGATCTTATCTGCCTCCAACTGGCAGCAAAGAATTGCCTCAGCTCTTGGGCATCGTTGAGCCATCAATTTCTTATCTTCACCAGCCCCCGGCACCTCTGCCGTCTGCGAGAAATCCAGTGGTTCCAAGAGCGGCTGGCCATCCTGCAGGCCTCGGTCAGGCACCACATCGCTCCTTACCGCCGATAGAAGCGACTTCTGCAGGCGACAAACCAGAAAAAATGCGGGCTCTGGTGTCCAAGCTGGGCTTATCCCTGTTTGTTTGCCATTACTAAGTCTGCCGTGTGCGGCTTTCAAGGTCATGCTCCTCGGAATTAGAAGCAAACTGAGACCGATGGTGAACAAATTACTGTGAGGAAACATGAAAAAGGACTTTGGAAAGAGAGTTGAAAGTGCTTGAAATCCTTGAAAGGGTGGCGAATGGAACCACATGCTTGCTAAGACTGCCGCAAATGCTAGCCCTGGTCATTAAAGTGTCCCACGGCTGCCGTTGGTTGCAGGAAAGCAGAGATGACGTACTTGGAGGCAGGAATATCAAATGCAGCTGTCTTTTTCCTGCTTATTGAAGTGAACAATTTCTTTATCTTCAAGCTTGGCGCACCAAGTTGTTTCAGGTGAAGCCTGTCAGCACCTAGAATGCTAGGCAGAATAAACATCAAGGTTTCAGGTTTCCATCTGACCAAGAGGGAGGTCCAAGTGATTACGCGATCTTCGGTTTGCCCTCATGCCCAAAGAAACCTGCTTAATAATTAGTCATACTTGGAGTCAACCTGTGAGTTCGTACCGAAGATGGAACCTCAGTCGTACCCCAGTCATACCTGTTTCTGGTCATGTCGCATTTCTTCAGGTCATGTCCTATTTCGGAGGGTGGCGCCGCGAAGCTCCTCCGCAAAGGAGCGAAAGGATCGTCAGCACAGTACATCGTAGGCTCAATCGATCCACCAAAAGCACCGTTTCCTGCAAAACCCCTCTGGAAATACATGGAAACCGTTTCATGCTTTGTGGTAAAGAAATGGCCGTTCATGTCCGTTCCAAGCTCCGCAATCTGATTCTGATTCAATAGCATGCAAAAAGGAACACGGGGCTGTGACCATTCTCTCAAGTCAAATCCAATAAACATCCCACCAAAATCTCACAAGTTGGCAACCAGCAGTCTGAATCAAATCTCCATCAAGTCAAATTGGTGGATGCTGGAGCTCTGACTAGCGCAACCAACAGGGAATGAGGAAGAATGTCGGATCCAAAAGTATATAATAATATATTACAGTATGTATTGCCAGGGCTTATTCCCCTCATTCCCGACCAAGCACCAGTTGGAAAAATAACTGAAATGCTTGGAGGCCCTTTAACCGAGAGCCAAGTCACGGATACTAGCCCAGCCCGTTTCGGGCCCTGTGCCAGTCAAGCGCAAGAAGCGTAAGCGTTGCTCCTCGCCGGCGCCAAAAACGTCCGGTGGCTAGCGGAAGCGAAGAAAACACCCCCCCTCACGCCAACTGTGTGAGGAAAACCAGCTTTAAACGCAGAACCATCCAACCCAGATTTGCCCAGGTGGAAAGACATCGATCTCAGATCTCTCACATTCCATGAAGCAGGCACATTCAACAAATAACCGAGACGGCCACCCCCGAGAAGGGCCTCAATTATGATATTCCTAGAAAATTGCAAATTTGCCTCTTTGGATCTCTTTGGAGTAATTTAGCAATTCAGTAGTAATGCTCAAAGACATCAGTAGAATCATTGGTCCTAAGGGGGAAGGCCTTCCGAGCTGCTTGTCAAAGCCTCGGACACTAGACACATCTAGACACCTTGGAGGGTTGCTGCCGTCACACAGAGACTCCGGGGCTCAGACTCAGAAACGTCCCAGAAAAACGGTTCCATACGGCTTAAAAAGACCTTCAATCACGACAACCAATTGGATGATATCGGATGTTTGTTTCTGAGCGACCGGAATGGGACCTTGTGGCGACCGGTGAAAGGGACCGGCGAATGCCCCGGCTCCATGGTTCCACTTCCTAATCACCTCACTGGTACCGTCATGCTTACCCCGCAAAGGTACTGTTGATGAACCAAAGGTGCGAGTTGGGGGATACCAAAGGCATACGGCATATCCAATTGCTGCCAAATACCACTAATATCGCATGGCTTAAAAGTGCTGCAACCTCACTTTCAACTTTCACAGATTGAGACACAGATTGAGAGTTAAGAGTACAAACCTGCCTGGTATGTCTCTTTTGGGTAAACCGAAACGCTCCTGATTGCACATTGGATACAGCTCACTAGGTGCCTATCTGTAATCTGTGGGAAACCTTCAAGCCACATAGACTGAGAAGAACGTAGCAAAGACTTAGGTGACTTGGTAAATTCATGCAACAAAAAGCGGTGAACAGGCATGGACATACTCAACCCACATCCTGACTTGCCAGTTGCACTCAAGGCAACCCATCTGCACCACAAACTGTCCGCCAAATATACAAACAGTCTGACCAAACGCTGGCCCACCCGTACACAAATCAGAACTCCTAGCCTCCTACAATTCTCACCCCCGTCAACGAACATAACTCAGAAAACAACCATACTACTTTCTATCTAACCCAATCAAGCAGGAACACACGCACACACCCATGCACACACTGGAGACCCCGCGCTCGCTGGAAGTATCGCGGGCAAGAGGATGGTCGTTTTCGTCCAAACCTCTTTGCCCTGGTCCGTCCGCTTCAGCAGCACCCTCCCAGGTCTGGTCTGTTCGGATCTGCGGGGGGGTCAACTTTCGACCTATCACAAAGAAAGAGAATGTGTAGACCTACTTCAGCTTTTTCGACCTACCCCCCTGTTTTCCGCATTTCTCATCCCACCCCCACCTTCAGCTCAAGTTCCCGCACGAGGGCGCCCGTGCTGAGCCTCTCCTTACCGAAGCTGCACGAGTCAACGCGGAAAAACTGCTTCAGCTCTGGAAACTAAGACCCGAGATTCAGGCTTTTCCTTGCAAACGATGTTGGGGCCCATGTAGATCCTGCAGGGCTCTCTTGGGATTCGCTGCAACGTGCCGGTCCCTGCGGCAAGGATTCGCCTGCTGCTGGTGGTGGTGGAAGAAATCCTTCCTTTTGCGGCTCCCAAGCCAGTCTAAGGCTTTCCTCCGTTGCAATGTTCTCACTGATGACCAAAATCGACTTCCCTCCGCCAATGTTCGCGTCTGGCATCTGGAAGACTTGACTAGGACAAGGGAATTGAACATGGTATCTCTTGGCCACCCATCCACATGTTTGTCGTGTGGACACCTGAAGATGTGTGTATTGAACATGCCTCATGCCATCACTCTGTGTCTCCAGGTCCATCTGAACTCGTTCTAATGTTCATGACCCCTCGCTACCTCATTCCAAGGAGCACTAGAAGCTTACAACTTACAACCCCTGGAACTTGCCAAAGCTCCAGTCGAGAGGTGGTTCTGTTCCTCTTTCGACCCGGCAGGGTCACAGAAGGTATTCACCTGGAACACCCACGCCGACGCGACATATTCAACCCAGGCAGTTTCACGGTTTCCATTTCACACAAAGGACCCAGTCCCAACTGGTGCTGTCCGGTCCAGAACTGGTCCCAGTTGCTTCATCCGAATGGCCTCGAGTCTGGCTGGCTGATCCAGCAACCGGATCCAGTGATGCAGTTTAAGAAGGGAAGCTAGGTTGAAACAATGACTAGCTTCACAACAACTATGCTGAAGTATGCAACTAGCTTCAATGCAATGAAACCCTCTCCAGTCACACAAACTCGCTTCACATCCACGAATGGCTTCAAACGCTTTTTCTTGGCCGGTTGACCTCGCTCTTGGGCAAGGCCAGATGTGGGTCGTGGGTCAACCGCTTAAACCGTCCAAACTCTTTAGCTAAGGATCGGCCAGCAAGGGAGAGGAGGTCCTCAGCAACATCAAACGGTGGCGTTTTGGTCCAGTCGCTGCCGGGGTGACGTGCTCAAACCACGCACCGCGACTCGATTTGAAGCTTGACTGACCAGGACTGACCAGGACTTTGGATCACCTGCTAGAAAGAAACTGTTTGTAGAACAAGCACTAGAGTCACTAGAATCTCAAGTGGGTAAAAGCTCCAGAAAGGATCTCAAGTACTAGAATCACCCTGACCAGTACTAGAATCTCAAGTGGGTATAAGGTCCAGAAAGGAGCGCGGTGTCCGGCGGCGCGGTTTCAACCAACCACTTTTTGCTGTCCCCTCACAACTTGTGTGAGGTTTGTACTAATCTGTGTCAGCAACTTTGCTTTCCAGACAAACCAGCAAAACTAGAAAATTGAAATTTACAAGGAACTCAGGAAATCCCAAAGACACTTAAAAACAATATCAATCGAAAGAACATCACCCCAATCTTTATCCGCAACTTTGCTTTCCAGACAAATTGGATGTCCTTGATCCTAATATCATTTACTATCGCTTTTTCCACGCTGATTTCTCACGAAGAGGCCGTGATCTGGGGTTTGTTGGGAGGCCACCCAGTTTGTAGAGGCTTTTGGCGATGAATGCACTTGCAAGTGTTGATGTCTATTTTTTGCAATGCACTTGCAAGTGCTGATGTGAATTATTTATCCAAAGAATCAGTATGGCCAGGCCCTCCCGTCCTGAGTCCGAGAGAGGGGAAAATCTGGAGGATCAATTTAGTATGGGAAAACTGAACAAAGAACAAGGAACCAACAAATACCCCAGGAGACTAATCAAGATGCAAAATGGCAAAAAGTGATTGAACACTGCCAATTTCATCGAATAATGTACCGCTCACAGCGCTCCCCTCTCCAGAAGCTCCAAGATGTTCTTAAATGTCAGAGCCCTTTTGGAGAAAGAACTACATACATGGGCAATATAAAATGGAACAAGCATGAAACAAGCCCTTGCCGTCCCTGCATCCCCCAACTGTATTGTTTCATGCTTCTATGAGTTCTTCTTTAAAAGGAAGCAACAAATCACCACATTCTTTGTTGTACGCCCCTAACTTCTCTAGTCAACCTTGGCAGGCTGAGATTCCCAGACTTGCCCTATAGTTGACTTGCTGCTTCACTTGCTGGAATGATTTGTGCCGAGAAAGGGCTGCACTTCAAGGGGCAGCTCCTTGGCTCCCTTTTTGCACGGTATTCTCAAAAGAAGAGCCTTGCGAAATTCCCTCAGTGCAAACCACGAACTACTCCTTGCTCATACAGAAAGATCTTCCGCCTAAAACCAAGAAAAAACCATGCTAAAAACAGGTGCATCTTCCTGAAACGGACCCCCAACTCCCCATCGCTAGTAGGTTGGAGGTAGCCATTACTCACAGAGCTTGCTGTTTTGTTTCGTTCGTGCGTCCGAAGATCTCGCAGCCCTGGCGTACCACGATGCCACCCTTGCTGCGGCCGCCCAGCACTTGCCAAAGCTTGCTGGGGCGTTCCAGTTCCGCCTCCTGGAAGGGAGTGAAAAGCAAGTGGCAATGGGTCAATTCATGCTTTTTGAGTGGCAGGATTGGTGTGTTCATGTGTTTTCCAGGTCGTTTGCTTCCAAGATGTACATAGATTAACCCACTGTGCCAGACTGGATCAAGCACATCACGTTCTGGACATCATGTGAGAAGGTGCAAAAGCAATGCAATTCTGAAATTGCTTATTTTTTGTATAAATATATATATTATGTGGTCAAACATTCCTATTCCCACGGCTTTTTAGCTCGTGCAAAAGAACCTGTCGGCAACATCAGGATTCTGTGACTGCAAAGAGTCATTCTCCAGGCTCACTTGAATCCAAACATCCACCCCAAACTCTCATGCATCTTGTTGGTAGCTTTCAGTCGGGATCAAAAGAATGGATGGAGTGCTTGACTGTGCTTGATTCGCTGCCCATGCTGCCCACATGTTTTCAGGTTAGTGCAAAACTCTGTCTGAGTCTGCCAATGTTGCCATTTAAAACAACAACAACCACTCCCATGAATGTTCCCTATCAGGTTGTACGTAACGAATATGATGTTTGGATGAACAAACCTTGGACCCGCCATCCACACACTTAAGCCAAACAGTCTCAAGCCGATCACCGATCCCCTTGTCCTCGTTATGGAACACTCAAGCCTGACAACCTCTCCGCCAGTATCCACCAGGCTCAACAAATGGTGTGGACAGGTTGGGGCGTCCACACCTGCTGGTTCATGTTCAGACTCCTGAGTGGACATGTCAGAATGGGTCAAAGCCCTCCCCAAACCAGGGTAGCCCGGTTGACCTCAGTAGTGCGGTCCTTGTTCATTTTCTCTGGACAACCGGTCGGTCTCCCGGTGCCATGACCCACACCCATGTAGCTCTTTGGCACCTCCCACCCGTTGAAGAGCGCGCACCTTCAGCTGTATCCAGCCCTCAACAGGTCCCAGGCCGTAGAGTCGCCGGAAACGTAGACCTTGCTCCTCCGGCGATCGCGCAGGCCCGGGGGGCCGGTGATGGAGAAGGACCGGGAGAGCGAGACCTCTCTTTTTGTCGTGATTAGTTCATGTTCGGTGGGAACAACCAGGGTGTCCTGGTGCCGCCCATAGCCCTGGTCCCTTTTGCGGTCGTGGGAGCCCTTTTTGGCGGACACATGAGCAATTTTTGCCACGCCATGGAACGATTGGCGGGTGGTGTAGACATGATGAGACATGGACCACAAGTCAGAACCTGAACCAGTTAAAACCTTCTCAGCTGAACCAGTTAAAACCAGAACCTGAACCTGCTAACCTGCTCCGTTGTCGAAAGAACCACAGCACCGATGTGTGGTGAGGCTGTTTGTCGATGTGAGGCTGAATGGAGATCGTCAGCTCCACGATATTGAAGGATCAACGGACCAGTGTGGGATGTGACCAGCCAGTGCAGGAAGACTGTGTGGATCCTACGAGTAGGATGGCAATCAAACAACCATGGTTTCTCTGAATAATATTCTAAGGAACAAATCCCATGTTGCGTTTTGCCCAGTCCGGGAGAACATTTGGTCTGGATGACTCATATGTGGCTCTTCGAGCCAAACCCTAAACTTCGCGGCCACACTAGCCCAACATGTGATATATATCTACATACAAAGATATGATTCTATGAGGAGTTCTCCAAGAATCTGGCAATCCGGTCTATAGTGGTCCCCAAATAGATAGAAACTGTTTCCAATGCATTTTGAAAGGGTGTTTAGACTGTTCTATCTATTTGCGGGTCTATATAGGCCTCTGAAGGCACCATGAAGACTTCTCTTGGAGGCTTCTCTTCGGCTGTCCTCCCGGCCAAGCTCCTCTAAGAGGGCACCTGGACACGCAGCACGGAGCTCTCCACGTGTCTCTCCACGGAGCTCTCCACGTGTCTCTCGATGGCATTTGCAGTAGTCGATCTGTGCAAAAAGATCTTGTGAATCTTGTGAAATTTGAAATGCACTGTTGAAGTTAGATCTTGTGCCAAACACTGTCATCAGCTGTCAATGTCTTTTCTTTTGTACCCTGTCCAAGTCGGACTATCACAATATTATCCTGTAGATCTTTGCCTATGAACTCTTTAGATTAAAACGTCTGCAAACTTCCAAGTTGATGGACATTTCCGCAGAATGAGGGGACATCTGCAGAATGATGAAATTTCATGTAAATTTCAGCGGATTTGGGGATTTCTGCAACACCACCAACACCACAGAACGTGTGCAACTCATCATGTCTCAATGAGAAAAAATGTGCATTGTTGCGCCCTCCTGCTTTAGAGTTATATAATACAGTAGAAGGAAAGATGGTCGCCAGGCTCCGAAAGTCAGAATCAATATCAAACCTTAACGAACCCTTTCTTTCGTACTTTCCTACTGTCCCTGAGACCAAAAAGCCACCTGTTACCCCAAAGAGCCGACAGGAGCAGCCCGCGAAAGCCGCTCAAGCGGCCTGTGCTCAAACGCCCGATGTTGGAATCGTCCTCGGAAGCGGCCGGGAAGCGCATGACAACCACACCGATGCCGAAAAGCCGGTTCCCCGGCTGCGTCCAGGCCCTTGGGCCTTTGGGGCTGCTTGGTCAACCGCACTGCTGGTGCCAGGGTCGGTGCCCTCATGGAGTTCATGGATCGAATCTGTTCCCGAAGGGAACATCTATGTCCTACAGGATTGGTGCTTTGCCAAAGACAAGAGCCATAGCAAGAGCCTTGGTGGTTTGCCAGATGAAGAGGCCACACTGACCACACTGAACTGTCTTGCAGATTCAAAAACTGGACTCATCGAAAACAAGTGGTCGGGAAGCAGCATTTTCTCACACAGCCACACAAAAAAGGCCCCTGGCTTCTAGACTCTAGACCAAACGGCATCAAAACGGCCACGGAGAGCACCCAGAATTGACCCTTGTGGTATTGTAGATGGCCTGGCCTCCGAGCAGAATCGAGACAACGATGGCCAGGGACGCCCTCACCAGCCCTGAAAGCCGAGCTGCGGCCGTTCGCACCAGCACGCCGCCCTTCTCGGATCCACCCACGACCTCCGGTCGTGGAGGTCAGCCGATGAGAGTGGAGGTAAATCAGATGGGAGAACCCCAGAAGACCCCCAGATGAGCCGAAAAGAGGCAATGCAAAACATGTGAAACAAAAAAAATCGCGGCGTACAGGTTCAGAAGTCTCCTCATTCACATACCAAGATACTTCTTCAGACCCCTCCTAAAGATCAGGATGCCAAGATTTACCCGCTAAATGTGTTTGCCACGGAACTCTGTGGCGTTTCAAGGCCTTTGGAGGTCTTTTCGGGTCCTGGCGTTGCAGAAGGTTTAACATCTGCTCAGCCAATCAAACAAAGAAATGACCAATGGCACCATGCTCCAGGCTCAATGTCTGAAGCCGAAATGTTTCATCTTGCATATACCATCATAACTACCATCATACACCTATGGCTCCAAACTAGGGTACCATCCAAACCCACTGGTAAACGAAAGCCCAAACCAAGTGTAACAACTCCCACACTGCCATATCCGTCGTGCGTATCCGGCTTGTCCCAACTTCCAGGCTTTCATGGGTTCCAAGGTGGACTAGGAACAGAATGGAACACATGTCCATCAACAGTACTAGCAAATAGCTGCTTCTCAGTTGTTTCCACTTGATCTTTTTGCTGAAAAAACCCTGCAACTCTGGGTCAGTGACAGTTCACCTACATCACCCAAGAGTGATCCTGCGAGTTGCAAGCCCATGCCCATGTTACTTCGACTCATTATGATAAACACTCCCAAGAACACCTTGTGTTTCTCCGCCAACATATCAACCGCCCTGTGTTTCAAAGGAAACCCAGCTTCTGATTCTTCCTGGGACGAACAAACATCAGTCACTTCGCCGGTGCCCGCCATACCCAAGAACAGCTCGCCTCCCATAAGCCACCCATGGACGATGGGCGCGTCAGTGGGTGCAACACAGAACCATAGGTCAAGTCCCACGCTTGCGGCTGGGTGTTTTAATACGGGGACCTCGCAACCAATGGAAAACGGTCGGTCGGACAAAAACTACAGGACCATATGGCAAAAGACATGTCAAAACGCAACAAAGCATCGCAGGTTGGCATCGTTTTGTAGTCCATTTACTTCATTCTGCCAAGTGAAACAGGATGTCCGGTTGACGACATACGAGTGATAGACTCCTCTGGGTGTTTTGATGACTCGGTCACATCTTTTTCGGACACTGAAGTCTTCCAGCCCTCTGAGGTCACTTGGGTTTCGTGCTTCTTCATCACGTGCTCTTCTTCCTTACTTCATGAACCATGTGTGCAACCTCTGGGACTTCGAACAGCGGCTCTCGAGTCCACGTCCGAGCCCATAGAGTCCATGGACCGAGCGATGGCAGGGGGTGATAGGTTCGGATGGTGATAGGTTCGCATGTCTATCATATGAGCTATGGTTCTCATGTCTATCCCTATTGACCAATGGATGACGTCATCACCCTAGTAATGGTTGATCATCCCCCAATTTTGACCATGGCTCAAATGTGTATCATAGGTGTATAGCCAAAAAGGTAATTAGGTGCTTTCCTTGGATGGTTGTTTCATGTTGTTTCCCACCCAGAGGTTTTGAGAACAAAACCGACACCACAGATGCGTTGAAGAAAAACATTGGTTGGCGATGGTTGTCTAAATCCAATGAGCATGGCCCCGTGTTTCGCCCGTGGTTCAGCAATTAATCTATTGGCATTGGCACTTACACCATCAGCAAAAATCGATGGGCTCCCGATTTCAACAACTGATTGGCCTTAGTTTCTTTCCTTCTATTCTAGCCCTCGAAACATGCTGATGCGGCTGTGGCAAAATGAAGTTCCATAATTACCAACCACCCAAGGACCCTTGAAGACATGTGCTTTGCATGTACTTAGTGCATAACGGCTACATACTACGTAGGGGCGATTGTGACCATGGATGTCTCTTCATCGTTTGCTTTGCAAACGGATCCAAAGGGCAAAACCGTCCGATTGGATCTGTACCCCAAAAAGCATACTGGCCAGGGGACTATGAGTGGGGTACAGCTTGTTCATCCTCATGACAGGGTGGTATCGTGGGAAAATCAATGAACATATCACGGAAGCCGGAGAAAGAGGGCTGCAAACAGGGAGATCCTCGAATTCATCCAGCCCCCCCTGGGGCGATCCGCGATGCGAGGCTCGCGTGGTTTTGGTGTGGCCGAAGAAGCGGCGAGGATGTTCACGTCGCTTTTTCGTAGGGAGCGAGCCAAAGGGTTTTAGAGGGGCGACGGGCGAAGGGTCCCTGCTTAAAAATACCGGAAAGTTGGGAAGACTGTTCAACACTAAACACATCTAAACATACACCAAGAAGTGTCACCAAAAGCAAAGCTACTATACACATATATATATATATTATAGGTATATACACTAAATAGCTGACCGGAGAGAAGTTGTTTGATGATCTTTGATGCTTAGCTGCACCCTGGGTATCTCGAAATGGATGCCTCTTTGCTGACTCTAGTTGATCTCCATGCGTTGCTGGAAGATCCTTGAAGAACTTACGTTAGAACAACTGAGTAGTATAACTATAACTTCATAACGCTGAGTCACCTGATAGTACACTAGGAAATCAGCAAATGACTCCATCACCGCGGCCTTGTGCGCGAATGAATTCTCCCTGGACCACGTGAGGACCACGTGCATCCACGACTGCATGGACGACCCATGGGTCGGTGAGACGAACAAAGACACGATCCCATCATGTGGTGTCTCACTCGGGTGGTCTCACTCGTATCGCACTGTGTCTTTTGGTCTGTGGAACATCATGGATGTCATCCGAAATGTGTGCCAAGATGTGCCAAGCATCCTTGTCTCATCCTTTTTCATCATTGCTACATCCACCTTCCACTGTGGGACCTCCTAGCGGGTTCCTTTCCTGAAACACTGCTCGACCAGGCCTGGTCGAGCGAGAACGCATCCCGCCTGGGCGTGTAGTGGGGACTGGGACTGACGAATCATGGGATGGGCACTGTGTATGGACTCCGACTCGGAATGTCAGTTAATAGAAGAAGCTACTGCATAGTCCACACACTCCTCGAAAGAAACATTGAAGTGATTTCATCATCAAAGGATCCATTTTCCACGTCCGTGTTAGTGAGCCAAAGGGTATACCTATACCCTAGTGGAGCCCAGGCAACCACGACTAGTAAGACTTGGAGCCCATGGGGCTCCGCTGAGGGCCCGGTCGATGATTGATGGTGTCGTCGGACGCCGAGGGGACGCCCAGCGAACGTTCGTGGTTTGGGATCCACTCTGGGTACATTTTGGTGGTTTTCAGGGGTCAATGTGTGTGTATGTTTTGCGTGGCACGACTGATCACCCAGTTTTCACCTGACTGAATGATTGGGTCAATCCGTTTTCTTTTCTTGGAGGTCACATGTGTTTGCTCTTTTTGAGTAGAAAGGGCATGTTTGCGGCACAAATGGAGGTTGTCATGTGGGGTCGTCGTGCGGAGCTCAAGGAGACGACCCTTTCGCAAGCTCTGCCCCTTAGGCCTTCATCATCCTTTAGAGGATTCTTTAGTTTAGGTGCGGTGCGGTTCATCAACCATCCACCACAACCAGCACTGGTCACTATAAGGGTCGGTTGTCAAGAGCAAGGAAACAATCCATGAACCAGTAAGCAGTGCAACATCTTCCCTCTCAAGGCCTTCTCCACACTTTCCTGCTTCGTTCATCCAGTCCACCAAGTTCTTATCTTCCAAAGCCAGCAAATTCTCACTTGGTCAAAACCTATACCAAATCAATTGAAGCATGGTGGGAACAAATTGTTTGCTGGTCTTCCTCGCCCTCCTCCACCCTCTCAAGCAACCCCACCTTGCAAGCGCCACATGAGAGGCGCTTCCGCAATATGGGCAGCTACGCGACAAGCGAGACCAGCTCCAATGTTGGGTAAAACATCCATGGCCCAGGAAAAGAAACCATCGTTACTAGGAGAAAGGACGATACTAGGGGCTCCTGGCATCGCTACTAGGAACAAGAAGCTACTAGGGGCTCCTGGCCGTACTACTAGGAGCAAGGACGCTACTAGGAGCATCCCACTTGACAAGGGCTACTAGTGCAACTGCCAGTTGCTCAAGCGAAACTTCAGTAGGGGTGCCTGGGAACCCTTCTGCTTGGAGTGGTTTTACCACTTTAGAGACCAAAGCTCCCGGTTATATAGAGCTCCCCGAACGCGAGAAGTCCTGCATGGATCTTGCTGCATTTCGATGGCCTCCCTTCAAACAACAGGATTTCCGGCTTGCCTGCCTACAGATCTCAAAGGCTTACCTCCCACCATGCCGGTCTCAGCGCTGAAAAAGAAGGATCGATGGGGCGAGGATCCATAGCACACCAGGTACGTAGGTTGAGACGAGCCAAAGGGCCAACTGTTCGACATGAGACGTCTCTTTGTTCGACAAACTCTCACATGACCTCAATGTGGGTTTTCCAGAAATGGATCAACTCGGGAAAAGACATGATCTGGATAAAACTAAATCGTTTGATCAACGGTTCTTAGTTGCAAGTCTACCTTCAGGCTACCAAAGCCTTCTGCTTTTCCCTCTGGTACAGTCCTCGAATCGAAAAGAACCTTTCCAAACGGTGGGGAAACCCCACATGGTTCTCTACAAGCACCAGGTGAGTGCAGTCCACGGGGTGGGGACACCTGCTCCCTCTTCCAAGAAACGAAAACGCAGGTGTGGGAATATACCAGCTTGAGGGTTGTGCAGTTCCATGTGCAACCAAAATTTTATGGTGGATCCTTTACATATGACAAAAATCATCGTTGAAACAAACATACACGTGGCCCGTGCCTCTACAAACCCAGCTACAACGGCTACGTACAACATCACATCGCGCAGTGCGGCGATCCTTTCGTCGCAGCGGCTCATGCGAGGGTCTTGTTCCTGACATCGCCGTCGAAGCTTGCACCACAGCGGGCGGTCGCAGTGGATGAGGCTCAAGAATATCGACGGAACAGGTCTCCCCAAAAAAAGCACCCCACTTGATTGGTTGTTTGGGAGGGTGACACATGCAGCAGAATCTGTGTTTTTGGTACCAAAGGGTGTGGTTCAACGAGAAGCGACTCTTCTCAGATGATCTTTGGATTCCAGGAATCCAACGGTCTCCATCCATATTCTTTTCGCCCACCACTAGCTCCATCAGACTGCCGTAGCAGTGTTTTCTGTGCAAGCAATTGACCTACCAGCGCAGGTTTCACCTCAGCTGGTGATCGAGGCTCTGACCTGGATCATCTCCAGTCCTCTTGGATGTCATGCGTCAATTGATTTGACATAATTTAGATTCATGATTCATCAAATGCAGGGCTTTGACAAGCAAAACATGTCAGCCAAAAGGTACTGAGATAGAAATGTTAGAAGTTTGGGTCTTTTCACACCAGTACCAAGATGGAAAACAATATGGTCAACCGTGTGTTTTCACAAAACCGACCGCCTGTGCACCGTACCCTGCTGAGGGGTTCGGTATATTTGATTGTGGCGGTTCGCTGCACGACATCTATAGTATCCTTCCTGTGAAGGGCTGCCGTGCTGCTCTTTCCTGCTTCGCAGTGCAAGCTAGCCGGATTCGGGTTGTCTGAGAGTGCAAGTCCGAATTGTCCACAGAGACTCGTTCTTCGAACACATGTTTTCCAACTTAGAACAACATGGGCTGAACAATCGCATGTCTAAGTCCGTCCTTGTAAGAAGCAATCGTTCCGCTTTCCCAACTGCACTCAACAGATTTAGCTGCAAGATCGTCCATCCGCGATGGATCATCCGGGCGTGGGACCTCAGCCGCCTTTACCGGAAGTGCAGCCCTAAGCATGTTGAACCATTGGAAACTTTTGTGGATTATGGACCTCAATGAATTCAACCGCCCTTCCTGGTTGCCACTGGCG